CACCCCTGCTCTGCCCTCTGTCTCTGTGACATGGGGTTTCTAGGATTCCACGCGACTGACATCATGTGCAATGCCTTTCTGTGTCTGGCTTATTTCACTGAACAACTTCCAGTTCCCTCCAGGCAGTCACAAATGACAGGAGTTCTTTTTTTTTTTTTTTTTATGGCGGAGGAACACAAGCAAACGGGGGGCTTCCAGAAATTCATGAACAGGTGGAACTAAAGGATAATGCCCATTTCCCACGGACTTTTTCTGTTTTTGAACTGCAGAATGACAGAGATCACCCACCCCCTGGTTCGCGCCAGAGATGGCCACAGCCACCAAGGCAGGATCAAGGTCGGCCTGCAACCAGGAACTCATTCATGGTCTCCCACACTTGGCAGCAGAAACCCCAAGTGAGATTGCTGGCTCACATGGTAGATCCATCTGGAATGACTTAAGGACCCTCCAGACGGGTTCCTGCAGCGGCTGCCCCTACACCCACTCCCACCAACCATGTGTGAGGCTTCACCTTCCGCCACAGTATCACCAGCACTCACCTGTTGTCTTGTGGAAAACCACCCATCTACCTGCAGTGAGCTGATGGCGGATCAAGTGGCTTTGGTGACTGATAAGATTGGATCTGGAGCCTTTTCTTTTTTTTTTCTTTAACATTTATTTATTTGAAAGTCAGATATACAGAAAGGAGGAGAGACAGAGAGAAATATCTTCCATCTGATGATTTACACCCAAAGGAGCCACAATGGCTGGAGTGAAACCAATCCGAAGCCAGGAGCCAGGAGCTTCTTCTGGGTCTCCCACGTGGGTGCAAGGTCCCAAGGCTTTGGGTCATTCCTGATGCTTTCCTAGGCCACAACCAGGGAGCTGGATGAGAAGCAAGGCTGCCAGGATTAGAACCGGTGCTCATATGGGATCCCGGCGTGTGCAAGGTGAAGACTTTAGAAGTTAGGCTACTGTGCCAGGCCCAATGGAGATTTTTTCATATATGCACTGCCCAAAGCCATTTGTATGTCTTTTGAGAAGTGTCCACTGAGTCTTTGTCCCATTTTGAGATTAGAATGGCTTTGGTTTTCTCTTGTCACCTCGCATCCAGCTCCCCGTTCAAGACCTGGGAAAGTATCACAGCATGGCTCAAGTTCTTACATCTTTGCACCCATGTGGGAGACCCAGAAGCAGCTCCTGGCTCCTGGCTCAGATCATCTCAGTTCTGGCCATTGTAGCAATTTGGAAGATCTCTCTCCCTCTCTCTCTAGAACTGCCTTACAAATAAAAATATTTAAAAAAAAAAAAAGGGAACCTGGCACGGTAGCCTAGTGGCTGAAGTCCTTGCCTTGTACATACCAAGATCTTGTAGAGGCATTGGTTCTAATCCCAAGGGCCCTGCTTCCCATCCAGCTCTCTGCTTATGGCCTGGGAAAGCAGTCAAGGACAGCCCAAAGCCTTGGGACCCGGCAGCCGCATGGGAGACCCAGAAAAAGCTCCTGGCTTCAGATTGGCTCAGCTCTGGCTGTTGCAGCCGCTTTGGGAGTGAATCAACGGATGGAATATCTTCCTCTCTGTCTTTCCTCCTCTCTGTATATCTGACTTTCCCATACAAATAAAATAAATCTTTTTTTTTAAAAAAGGCATTTCACTTTGTTGTAATTCCCCTCATCTGTGCTTGGATCTTACCCAAACGAGTCTTGAATTGCGGATGTATTCATCTTGGGGTGGGAACCCAAGGAGACCTCCCGAGGCCTCCACAGTGTGGCTCTTGGTGCTTGACACAGAGGATGTGGTGGGCAGCAAGGGTGCGTGCCATCTCAAAGGGCGTGAGTGCCTCCAGAGCGTTTGTGTGTTGCTTCCAAGTTCAAAACAAGCTGCAACATGGAAAGAAAGGTCTTTGCCCAAGTGACTCAGACATGTTCCAGCACTTTCCCACAGGCTCCTGCACAGCCCAAAATAACTGCTCCCCTGGACCCTGTCCGCCAGCATAGCATTACAGGACAGCGTGTAAGGTTACGGGGCAGCAGGAAGCCTGGCCACACTCACCAAGGTGGCGCCGTGCCAGGCCTCCTGGCTGCGCTGGACAGGGAGAAACAGCAAGGACAGAGCTGTTGGTACCACGCACGAGTAAGCAGGGTACCCAGAACACTAAGAGGGGCCTCACTCAGTGCCCACCTGCCACCAGAGCAGAGACAGTTCACCCTAAATTCCATGGCTGGGAGAGTTGGCCTCGGGCTGGCATCTCCTGATGAGACCCCTTTCTGAAGAAACATCCAAGTGGCCTTGGAACTCGAAACTCTTCAGTGAGAAGGATGTCTCAAAGTCTCCTGCTGCCAGGGACCCTGTGCCCAGCTTGCGACAACACAGTGTTATGCACAGGTGGCAGGATAGACATATCACTTGCCAAGAAACAACTCAGAACACTGGGTACTGGGGAATAGAAGCTGGACAAGCACTTCCGTCCCACTGGGGCAGGATTCACAGGGTGGGCCTCTGGGGCGAGACCTGGTGAGGAGGGTAGGAAGGGCAGGCACCTCGGGGAGGACATGTGCTGGAGGGGCAGAGAGGAAGATGAGCGATGCTGCAGGCAGCCAGCTGGGTTGCAGGTGTTGAGGTTGCCCGTGGTTTTTGGCAGAAACCCCGTGGCTTACTCCTTGGCTTCACCCACAGGACTGATGCCCTGCAAGTCTCAAGTAGCATGCCTAAGATGAGGCGACCTCACGTTCCTGTGCTGCCCTCTTGGTCACCACGGCCGCTGGGGCACACTGAAGCAGACTCAGAGCCTGCCTCTGCTCCTGGCTGTCAGGGTGCGCCACTTCCCGTCTCCTCACCTTTTCCATGGCACCTTAGCAACAGCCTCCTTTGTCAGCTATCAGCTCTCGGTTCAAGGCCTGAGATAAGCACCCTCCCTTCCCCATCGCTGTACCGATGACGCAGCCAGGGAGGGAGCTGGTCCACTACCCAGAGCTACTGCCCCGAGAGCCGTGATCTGAAACCAAGGGTCCCGACAGGCCTGTGCTTGGGGCTCCGTGTCCTCTAGACACGCCCCCAGTGGGTCACTGCCCCTACCTCCTCCAGAAGCCCAGACGCATTGGAAGATCCGACCCTACACCTGGTCCCGGGCAAGGCCCAGAGACCACCATGATGCCCCACACCTCCTATCCTATGTCCATGTTCAGTCTGACTTGGGGGACTGGGACTGGCGTCCTGGCAAAGGGGAACACTTGGTCATGTGCTGGCTGCTCCATTTTAGAGCCAGGTCCTGCTAACGTGCCTGGGAAAGCAGCAGAGCATGGCTCAAGTACTGGCACCTGAGCCACCCACGTGAGAGCCAACTGGAGTTACAGGATCCCAGCTTGGCCTTGTCCCCAATTCCTGCAGTTGGAGCCATTTGGAGAATGAACCTCTGTAACTCTTAATTAAATCTTAAAAACAAAAAATCCTACATACATCTCACATATCTAGCAGTAACCACTCGAGGGTTAATGGTGAAGTCCTCTGAGAATAGGCCCCACATCCCAAAGAGAAGTGGTCACATCATCTTTCCTTCATTTTAAAAATAGTCCCACGGGCTTCTTCTATTTACATGTTGGAGTTTCTAGAACCTGTGGCATGCCGGCTTGTTCTCTCCCGATGAGTTCACCCAGGAACGATGCTGGCAGACTACCACCAGCATGACTGCAGCCTTTCTCGGCACGCGGAGAGTGGCAGGCCCATCAGGGTGTATTTTTGTGCAGCATCGTCAGGCACTAAGATTAAACTCAGTACAGTCATAAGAAACTCCGCTCAGGGGCTCCTAAGCTAGCCCGCACATGGAGTTCAAGGACTCAGGAGCCTTTCTTTTCAATTTATTTGGAAAAGAGCTGGGGGAAAAAAAATCCGGCAGCACCTCCACATTCTGGGACAAGCACTTGGCCAGAATGAAGATTCTTCTTGGGAAGCCCACAGTCTGTGCTGGAGTGCCTAGGCCGAGTCTCCGCTCCACTCTCAATGTGGAGTGCCTAGGCCTGAGTCTCCGCTCCACTCTCAATGCCAGCTTCCTGTTCCTGCGCACTGGGAGCAGCAGGGGAGACCTGGGCTGACTCTTGGGACTCCTGGCTCCTGCCTTGCTTGGCCCTGCATGTCGTGTGCACGTGTGCACGTGCGGAGAACATCCAGGATGGAGGACCTGTCTCTCCTTCCAGAAAACAAAGTAACAAAGGCTTTTGTGAGTGCAGCTGGCCCCTTCATGCCAGAGACATCTAGGAACCCAATGAGGGCACAGAGGGCTGGTGACTCAGGTGTCAGATAAAGATGGCACAAGCATACTGAGCGTGCATGTCCATCCTGCAGGGACCTGAACTCTGCCAAACATTTCGGCAGTGGTGGGAATGGGCTTCTCAGTACACTTGCAAACCATCCCAGCCCCTTGGTGAGGCCTGAGGTGTTGTCCAGTGGCTCCTCCACTGTTGCCTGGGACTGTCACCCAAGTCTCTGCCAGGTCTTCCCAGAGCCAAGCTACAGTCTGAGCCTCTAGTAAAAATAGGGCTGAAGCCCCAACCTCATGAGCTGGAATGGTAGACGTCACAGAGTCTAGAGCAGGCTCACCAAGCACCTCCCACCGAGTCTGATAGCAGCTGGGAACAATCTTGGTGCTGCTGCTCTTTCTCGAATTTTAGAAACCACACAGGGGCCCGGCACAATAGCTCAACTGGCTAATCTTCCCCTTGCAAGCACGGGATCCCATATGGGTGGCGGTTCATGTCCTAGCTGCTCCACTTTCCACCAGGCTCCCTGCTTGTGGTCTGGAAAAGCAAAAGATGGCCCAAAGCCCTGGGACTCTCCACCCATACTGGAGACCCAGAAGAGGTTTCTGGTTCCTGGCTTCAGACTGGCTCAGTTCTGGCTGTTGTGATCACTTGGGGAGTGAACCAACAGGCGGAAGATCTTTCTGTCTCTCCTTCTCTCTGTAAGTCTGCCTTTCTGATGAAAACAAATACTAAAAACAAACAAAAAAATACACACACAAACAACTCTAACTTATCACTTTATTTTCTTTTTAGACGTAGCATAAAGTCATCCAACATACAGATATTTCTATGGCTCCTTGCACAGTTTATTCTTTCTAAAGTTAGATATTTGAACTATGAGATGGATATCACCTCATTTAAAAAAGGCAACATTTCTGAAAAGTTGAGTTGTATCTTTATGTGAGGGAAATACTTCCCATCTACTCCCCAAAAAACTCCTTCAATCCAGAGCTAAAGGAAGACAGTAACAAAAGAACCACCGCTAATGTGGGGCCCACACATAAACGGCCCCAAAACAAGCAATGGGGTTCAACTTCAGAATTAACAAGCAACTTCTTTATTTGCACAGAATGAGGGTGTGGACGGAAGCATTGTTTTCCTTTTAGCCCTTATATTCGTGTTTCGCCTCCAGCCAGATCACTGCGTCCCAAGCAGCTACAAATAACAAAAACAGATTTCAAGTCCCTGAAATGCATGCAACTTAAACCCCCCCAATGCACACGAGCAGCCCAAGTCTCCAGGTCCGACTCGCACCGCACAGGGACTACGCTGTCGCAGGGCTCCCAGAGGGGTCCGGCGCACCGCTGCTGCCGCCGGGGCTTGCAACTCCCTCTTTGGCTTCTGGCTGTTGCATCTCAGCCTGCGGATCTTCCGTGTTTCCAGCTCCCTTCTTCCCCTCGTCTGCCGCCATGGCACTCATCTCCATAATCTCTTGCAGCGGCCGGTCGGGTTCAAGGTTGCTTGGCTGGAGTTCGTAAACCTGGACTTGACCAGGCACATCGATGGCTTTCTGCTCGAGTTTCTCCAAGATGGTCTGGACCTTCCGGACCCCGTCTCTCCTGGCCTGACGCACGTCAGCTCGTCCTTCGGGGTCCACGGAATCCAGGGCCAGCAGCTCTTTGGTCAAATACTCTTCAATCATCAGGTACTTTTTGTCAGTCTTCTTGCCTTCGAAGTTGTCCACAGCTTGCTCCAGCCCTTGCACCTTCTCCAGGATGGCCTCCACTTTGAGTACCCCTGGGTGTTTGGGGGGCGCCTCAGCTTCTCCAGGCTTGAGGGAGGTGGTGTCAGCGGGAGGGGGGCTGGGGGCCGCCCTCTCCTCTGTAGCCACATTCCTAGGGGAAGCGGGAACAGGGGCAGGGGTGGGACTAGGAGAAGGACCGGGAACCGGGGCGGGGACCACCTTTACTTCCGCCTTCTCTGAGGGTGGGGGCAGCTTCTGGGAAGTGGGTTTGGAATCGGCCTCCTTGCGGATCACTTGGATCGGGATGTGTCCAGGAAGGAGGTCTGGTCCAGCCGGGCTTGGCTTACTTTCTGGCTTGCTATCCGGCTGGGGAGCAGGTGGCGATTCTCTATGGGCCATGGGCTGCTGCGAACAAGAGGAAAGCACATAGAGGCGGGTTTAACAACTGGCTCTATGAAGCCAATGAAAGAAGTAGACAATGGCTTACAACAAAACTTCTCAAAGTCACCCCTTCGGGATAAACTGGAAATGAACCATTTGCCACATAGGTAATCAAGTCATCTGTTGGGTTTCTGGGGACCTCCTTGGGCTGCGTTACTTCTCAAGGAATTTCTCTACAGAGAGTGTTCAAACAGCAGAAAAGAAAGGCCAGCACAGTTTTAAAACATAAAACCAGCCAGATCCCATGCAGGGCTGGCCCCACACCTTAAGCCATGCAGTCTGCTCACACGCGCCACGCCTGCTGTGCAGGAAGGGTGCAGACCTCCCCATGAAAGCCAAGACACCCTAACAGTGTCTGCCCAGGGCAGCGGTTTCTGGCATTGTTTTTGAAAATAAACAAGATGCTCATGGTCACCAGCTCCTGAATTGTGCCTCAGCACCCTCGTACCTGGGCCTCCCACGCTGACTTCCTTCCAGCTGTAGTCTCAGTGACAGCCATGAGTTTGTAAAACAGAAGCAACTTACTTCTTCTAGCACATAAGTGACTACTCAAAACCTCCCTAAAAATCTCACATCCCCCAATTTCACTAATCAGGCAGTTAGAATCAGACCGTATGTACCATCTCAAAGCACACGTCATTGCAAAAACTGAATCACACCATCATGTTAAGTCAAATCCTGGAGAGCCCGGAACAAAGCTAGTGGATGGAAGGAGCTCACTGGGAACCAGGTGATGCCATTTCATCAATTATGGGAAAGATGTGTAGGAAATAACTGTGTCTGCACAAGGGCACTTGACCCACAGGTGGGACTCAGAAATCGACCCAACCACCTGCTTTCATCAAACCTCTTCTGCCAGGGCTGCCAGCAGGTGCAGCCAGGACACCAGCATCCCACATCAGAGTGCCATGTGCCATGTGCCAGCTTGGTTGCCCAACTTCTGATCCAGCTCCCTGCGAATGCACTGGAAAGGCAATGGAAAACAGCCCAGTGCTTGGGCCCCTGCACCCATGTGGGAGACCCAGAAAGAGCTCCTGGCTCCTGGCCACCCCTCCCCCCCCGTCAGAGCCATTTGGGAAGTTCATCAGCAGATAAAAAAATCTTCCTCTGTGTCTCTCCCTCCCTTCCTGTCATTTGGCTTTCCAAATAAACAAAATCAGAATTGACAGAGAGAGAGGAGGGAGAGAGGGGGAGGGAGGGAAAGAGAGGGAAGGAGGGGGAAGGGAGTGATAGGGAGGGAGGGGAAAGAAGAGAGGAGAGGGGGGAGGGGGAGATAGGAGAGAGGGAAAGAAACTTGTGCCAACGCAGACATCTTTAACTGGTCCTTACTGCCCCTGAAGTCCCAGAGAGGGTGCCTGATGGCCTGTACTCTTCAATAACATCAAGGTCATGGAAGCAAAGCAGAGCCAAGGAATCGCTCCAGACTGAAGGGGCCCAGTGTGTGTGGGGGAAAGGACGGGATGGATGTGACCGCTACACGCAGCACTCAGGCTCCTGGCTTAGATCCTGGAACCGGGAGGGCTACAGCAAAGGAGACTTAACAAGGACTCTACTGGGTCAGTGCACTGTAGCAATATCCATTCCCGAACCTGAGAACTCCAAGTGGCCATCACTGGTACAATTCTAGGGGAAATCTTGGCAATTCAGATTGAAAGGGCTCTTTCAAAGCTTCATGGAAAATGCATTAAAGAAAATATATACATGGATTTCAAAATGTTCTTGCACCAAAACACATTTTTTAAAAAAACACTCTGTTCTATCAATGTTCTGAAGTCCACACATGCTCTTACCTATACAGAGAACTGACAAAGCAAAGCAATGCAGAGAAATGTCAACAGTGAGTCTGGGTGCAGTGTGTATGAGATTTCTGCATGAGTCTTAGATCTCTTTGGTAAGATTGAAATTATTTCTAAAGAAAACTCCCTCTTCCTCCAAAACCAGCATCCCATGTCTCCACTGAAAGACAGGCAGGTCTGTGCCCGTGACCTTCAGCAGGCCAGCCTGCCATGCTAGCCATCTCTTCAGCCAGCATGATGGGATCCTGCTGTGAGAGGAAGACAAGGGCCTGGCACAATGGTTTGGTGGCTGGATCCTCGCCTTGTAAATGCCAGCACACTGTGTGGGCATTGGTTCAAGTTCCAGCTACTCCACTTACCCTCCAGCTCCCTGCTTGTGGCCTGGAAAAGCAGTCAAGGATGGCCCAAAGCCTTGGGACCTTGCACACACATGGGAGACCTGAATGGAGTTCTGACTCCTAGCTTCAGATTGGCTCAGCTCTGGCCATTGCAGCCACTTAGGGAGTGAACCAGCGGATGCAGAATCTCTTTCCTACTGTCTGTGAATTTGATATGCCCTCCCAATAGATAAACAAATATTAAAACAAATAAACAAAAAGATGAAAGACACAGTGCTTGTCAGCAGGCTCATGGACCAAAACACCTCAAAAATGGCGACCTTCTGCACTGCAGGGGACTCCAGGAAGGCACAGGGAGAAAGATGCAAGACCAGCTCATCACCCCACAAACTCGGAGTGTGTGGCACTACAGGGAGGTGCTTCCACCTGAGCAAAGGTGGGAATGCGCAGACCTGGCTTGCAGGCCCCCTCTCCCAGTTGCCCAGGACCTAGAGAAACGCCACCAAAGCCAGTCTGCTGACCATGAACCCGCCATACCTGAGGCCTTTCGACTGCAGTGTGCACCCGAATGGGCGTTGGTGTGCCGCTTCTGGCTGGTGAGCCCTCGCGGCTGGACATGCCCCGTGTGGGCGGCCTGAATGGGGAAGGTGCCCGCCGGGGCCGGTGCTCCCAATCATCGCCCTGGACCTTGTGGTACACCGGCTGGTGCGTCTGGCTTTCGCCCGGCTGTGCGGGGTAGTGGGTCTTCTGGGCTTGGTGGAAGGAGGGCTGGGCCGTTGGCCGGCCGATGTTGTGCTCGTGGATCACAGGGATGGGGATGTAGCCGCGGGGCAGTGGGGGTGCACCCAGGCTGCTACGGCCCGCAGAGGGCAGGCTGGCGGTTGAGGACGAGGATGAGCAGTCAGAGGCAGCTGGAGACTGGGACCGCTGCAAGAGACAGAGGGGAGAGGGCGCTGCCATGAACACCGGGGGCCCTGGTACTCCGACCACACCCTGCACTGTGCACCTGCTCGGGGCCACACATTTCTCCAGCCCTCCCTCCCACAGGCAGACAGTTCCATTTTTAGAAGCCAGGCTTAAGGCTGAGAGCGCCAGAGGCAGGAGGCTTGGGTTCAGGCTCTTCCTGGCTCTGTGGCTTTCTGAGCTGCGACGGATTCTGGGAAGTGATTCCTCGCTCCCTTGGGGCTGAAGATGGGCGTTGAATCAGCTGTGTAGGTGCCTCGGTCAGCAGCAGCCCCGCAGGAAGCCTCGCGCACCACAGTTCCTGTCACTATGCCACCCCATTCTCCTCCCTAACCTCCTTCCCTCCTAACTCAGCTGAGCCCCTGGCGCGGGTACGGCGGGCCAGGCCCCTTGCTCGCTGGGCCACCCTCTAATCATCCAGAAAACAAGGAAGGCAATTCCCCTTGTCAGGTTATGTTTGCTAAGATTTCTGTGACTGGTGCGTGGGTCACGTTACACATCTCGGCTCCGAGAGAAGCAAAGGGCCTCGCAGTATCCGGGCCAACACGACCTCTCACTCTGGCAGGTAGGGGAGCTCAACAGACTCAGAGCTGAGGCACCTGCGACTCCGGGGACAGACAGCAACGAGGATTTGTGCTCGGGGACCATGATGCTGGGAGGCCCATGGAGCAGGAATCCTGTCAGGCGCTTGGCCACAGTCCCAGCTAAGGAGCAGCAAATCACATCTGAGTTACCAACACTCTCACTCCACCCGGCCGGGCCTCTGCTCACCTCGGGTCCAAGAGAGGCTGGGGGCTGGGCAGCCGCTGCAGCCGCCTGTCCACACTGTTTGTCCGGCTGGGTGGCTTCTGGCCCGGCCCGCAGGGGGGACTGGGCCCTCTGCGGGCTGGCCGCAGCTGCCTCGCTCCGGAATCGCTGTGCTCCAGGCTGGGAGTAGACATAGAAAGTGTGTGGCTGCCGATTCTCGGCACCTTCGTGCAGGACGGGAATGGGAATGTAGCCTGGTCGGAGCTGGGGGTACACGGGGTGGCCTTCCCTGGTGGGCAGCAGTCTGGCGCCCTCCCGTGATGGGCCGTTGGCAGAGGAAGGGGTCTCCTGGAAGGGGAGAGACAGATGAGTCAGAACCTGGAATGATAAAGCTTTGAGTACGTGACCTTCTATAGTCAGCTGGGCCACACTGTCGCCCCCTGCTGCTGGCCTCGCCTGACGCAGGCCGGGGGTGGCCAGTGGCTGAAGCCATGGGGGCTCCAGAAGGCAGGAGAGCCAGGGTAGTTGTGGAGCACTGAGAGGCCCCAGTGCATATGGGAGAGCAGCTAACTCCCCGGATGCAGGGTCCAGTGTCAACCAGCACACCTTCCAGACGTGAAATTTTTGCAGAGGTGAGTGGGCACAGGGGCTGCTCCCACAGGAATATCGGCAGGAACACCCAGGGGGGACAGCAGCCAGGGATTCCCTGTGCTAATCTTGTACAACTTAATCCACGCTTAGTCAAACTTGAATCAGATTTTCAAACCTTCTCCTAGACTCACTGGTACACTTCCGGGTCAGATTCCATTTTAACTGAATGCTCGGGTCATTTAGCAGAGTGCTCTGCCCTTCCCCAGCCTCCAGGGTCTGCTTACCCTGGCCTGGCTGGAGCAAGAATCCTGCTGGGTGGGTTTGGCCAGAATCTCCTTATCCCTGACTTCCTCTTAATCAGGTTCCATCCTCTGACCACACCCTGCTCGGTGGCAGAACTCCACCTGCCCATGCAGTGTCTTGAGGCGAGTCCAGTCCCTGCCTGGCTGCGCGATGGCCCAGGCCTGCTGATCACTGCTTCCCCCGCCCAAGCAGTGGCTGGGGACCCTCTGGGCTGCCCTCTCACACAGTCGTCCTGCAGTGGCCGGCTATTTTGGGACCCTTGTGAAGGCCACGCTGCAGACGCACCGCAGGGAGATCTTGTTTCAGACAAGCCCAGTGAGTTACTGCGCAGCGCCATCTCACCACACAGCGGCCCTCTCCCCTGGGCACCTGAGGGGCCCCTCAGGGAAGGGGTGGGCACTGATCTGGGTCACTTGTACACATCCCAAGGCTCATGAGGCTTCCTCTAGGGCGCATCTTTCTGAAGAGCAAATATCCGCAGGAAGTGAAGCTGGCACCAGGTGATTCCCACAGCTGCAATGTTTCTATTGGCATGCAGACGTAGGCCCCAGGACCTGGTCCTTTCTGCTCCATCGACCGGGTCCCTCCCGCAGAGATCCTTCCAGCACATGGGAGAGGCAAGGGGGTCAGCTCGTCCTTGGGGACATGGGCAGGCAGGCATGCTCAGATTAGAATGCCCACGTGCTTGGGCGGCAGCATTATTTTAGACTGTTTAACTTGCAGGTCACCCAAGAGCAGGGAGCAGGTCCAGGCGCCACATTTGGAGCCCAGTTCCTGCCGTGAGCCAGCAGGTGCTGAGAAAGTCCTCCGGGTGACCACTCCCAGGGCCCCCTTCCTCCAGCCACAATTGGGGCTGCACAAACTGCCGGTGGTAGCACCTCTGCCAGCTGCCTGCAGGCTCACTGCTTCTTCCCAGACATACACAGAAGCCTCAGCCACAGCATACTCCCTGGAGCCCAGCACTCAGGATGTGTTCACCCCACACTGGTGGGCCCCTGGGGACAACAAACCAGCAAGGCCTGTTTAGAAGATGCCGAGGCAGGGGGAGATGGGGCTCCTGAGGGTGGAGACAACCCAGCTAGAAGCCAAGTTCATTCTTCCCTGTTCCAAACAGTTCTCTTAGCCCAGGGCACCAAAGCCTCACTTCAGGAAACTTGGGCCTCCCCTTAATAGAAAGTGGAGCAACACTGAGCCTGCAGTGGGGGATTTAGAAGACCATGAAAAGGGACACCCAGAGGCAACCAACAGAAGAAGCCCCCTACCCAGGCACAACACCATGCTGCCCAGACTCCGTGGGCCAGAGGAATGGAGGGTGAGGACAGCTAACAGTGACGGATGCCAAACAATGACCACCCACAGAGTGGGGGCACAGCCAGGAAGGGACTTGAAAGAACCTTCTGGAGTTCCTCTTGTCTTCTGGGTGGTGGGAAATACATATGCCCCTGTACAATCCTGTCCCACAGTACCTTCTGTGTAGCCCTGACATTGCTGTCTCCTAACATGGAGGCCCAGCAGGCACGGGGTGACCCAGGACGATAGTGAAAGGGGTCCCTTGGCTGGCAGTAAGGAGGTGAGGCCAGGGAGCTGCCACCGACCCTGTGAGCATGGGGTTCTGGGCAAGCTGCCACCACCAGCTGAAATTAGCATCCCAGGGTATGTTTCAATAACTCACTTTAGGCTATTTAATTTAAAAAAAAAAAAAACTGCACACATAAGAAGTTCCAGCTCTCTCTGTCTCTACAAAATTCTGCCTTTCAGATAAAGACAAACCTTAAAGGGGCAGTGGGGGGGGGGGGGCTGGAGAGGCATGCAGCATAGTGGCATAACCTGCTAATCCTCTGCTCGTGGCACCAGCATCCCATATGGGCAGTTCATGTTCAGCTGATCCACTTCCAACCCAGCTCCCCGCTTATTGCCTGGGAAAGTAGCAAAGGAAAGCCCAGGTGGTTAGGCTCCCTGCACCCACGTGGGAAAACCGGAAGAGGCCTTGACTTCGGATCAGCTCAGTTCCGGCTATTGTGGCCATCTGGGGAGTGAACCAGTGGGCAGAAGACCTTTTTGTAATTTTACAGTAAATTTTCTGCCTGTCAAATAACAACTAAAAAACTTAGGAAAAAAAAATGCCCAAGGGCTAGTGTGGTGCAGAGGGTTAAGCCTCTGCTTGTGCAGCTGGACACCATTTTGAGTCCTGGCTGCTCTGCTTCCCATGCAGCTTCCTGCTAATGCACCTGGGAAAGCAAGAGAAGATGGTCCACATTTGTGGACCCCTGCATCCACATGGCAGACCTGAATGCAGTTCCAGCCCCAATTTCTGCACCCATCTGGGAAGTAAACCAACAAATCGCAGAGTTTCTTCTTTTTTCTCTTTCAAGATGATTTATTTGAAGGCCAGAGTTACACAGATACGTTCCAGCTGCTGCTTCACCCTGAAAGGCTACAGCAGCTAGGACTGGGCCAGACTGAAGCCAAGGGGCCGAAGGTCCTCGCCTCTCCCCTGTGGGCGGCAGGGCTCACGCCCTTGGGCCGCCCTCCGCTGCTTTCTCAGCCACATTAGCAGGGAACTGGAGCAGCCAGGACACAAGCCAGGGCCCATGTGGAATTATAACTCTGTCTTAAATAAAAAAAATCTTCAAGAAAAAAAAAAAGTGTTTCAGCCCTACCCCTTCCCACCCCCCACTCCCCAACAAGGGATTTTGTTCAGGAAAGCACTGACTTAGGTAAATGATAAGAAAATCATCACATCAAAGCTACAGGCTATACAATTAAATATTTCTACATGAATGAAAACAATGTAAAGCAGAAATGAAACTCCTGAGAAGCACTGCACTGTGGAAGCTGTCCCCACAGCCAAGTGTCCCTGCCAGCCCTCACCGCTCAGCTTGCACTAAGATAAAGGCCCCACCTGCAACAGGGCGGTACTGTCATTTACAGTCCAGCAAAAAATGATTTTTCAGTGAGAAACTAAACGAATAATGCATAATATTTTTAATTCCCTTATCCTATGCACAGGATGTAGCTGAGTTTTCAAATTCAAGCCCATGTCAGAGATGGCCTCCATCACACCAGCCTCTTTCAGACCTCACCTGAGAAACTACCTCCTCAGGGGCTGGGGACAAAGTGGGGAGGCTGTGTGACCCCATGTTAAGGGCAGGCACATGTGCCACCCATCCTTGCAATCTCCAGTGGCCAGCCTGCAGCTCAACCCACTGGAGTTGAGACATCAGGGATAGACACAAAAGCCAATGAGGAATTAAGGGCCTGTCCCTGCTTGCCGCATACATGCATTTATGCCCTCTGGTACTGCGTTAAAACCCTTCTAGGTGTGTCCCATGGCGCCCAACAACCCCAGGAGAAAGCTCAGTCAAAGAGTGGGAAAATGACCCCTGGGGAGCCCAGATGGGCCCCATTAAGTGGAAGATATTACAGAAAGTCTGAGGTCAGGTTCTGGGCTGCGCTGGGCTGGGCTGGGCTGCGCTGGGCTGGGCTGGGCTGGGCTGAGCTGAGCTGCACTGGACTGGGCTAGGCTGGGCTGCACTGGACTGGGCTAGGCTGGGCTGCACTGGACTGGGCTAGGCTAGGCTGGGCTGCGCTGAGCTGGACTGAGCCGAGCTGGGTGGTGCTGGGCTGGGCTGAGCTGTGCTGGGTTGCGCTGGGTTGCACTGGGCTGAGCTGGGCTGAGCTGGGCTGAGCTGAAGAGCGTCTCTGTTTCTCAACAGTGCAGCTTGTTTTGGCCAGTGATGTGAGCACGGGGGACAGGATAGTCGGGGACAGCCATGTGACCCGGGAGAAGCTGAACTAGTTCCTACTGTGGCTCTGCCCCTACTGTACGCTAGAGAAACAACTGCGACCCTGCTCTCTTCCACCTCCACTTTCTCAAAAGGAAGATGAAAAGGAGGCAACTCACAGAGCAGAAATGGTATGTGCCCAGGAAACGTGCCAAAAGGCACCCCTGAAGCCCCAGAAAGCTGACTCAGTGTGGGGTATGAAGAAGCCTGCTCAGACGTCCGCTGTGGCCGGACGTCACAGCCCCAGAGACAGAAACACTACCGACCTGCCCATGATCACTCCTCACTGCACTCCCACCTTACCTGAAAGCTGGACCTCTAGGCACCCCAAAGAGCTACGTGACCAACCCAGAGGAGGTGGCTGCTGAGTCCCACATCCCAGGACAGGCGGGGAACAGCAGCTCACAGGTCCTGCCAGGTCCAAACAGGAGGTACACACATTCACACATTGGTGAGACAGCCCAGAAGGGTCGACTTTGCCTCATCCACTGCTCGTCAGCCTTGGTGTGGCACAGTTCTCTAAACCATGGCCTCCACACCTGCAAACCACAGCCACTGTGACTGTGGGCTGAACCAGGGTGACAGCAACAGCCCCAGGACCGCCCCGTAGCATCTCCTGCCTTCCCAGCCCTGTAATGTGAAATGGGACACTGAGTCTACTAACTGGTT